TGGTACCCTAACTTAAGAAAGTGCTGTATTTTAAAGAAGACCTGTAACAATTTTTCCACAGCATTATGGTTTCTCAATCTGTTCGATCCTCAATTGCATGAAGTCTTTGGGTTTCTGCCAGCGCATCACGACTTGGAGTAAAATACTCCAAAAAATCTTTTGTAAGGGGGGCCATGAGATAAACTGCGATAACGTTTTCACTCGAGTGACGGCGACATAGAAAGATGAACGCTGAGGAATCCTGCGAGTCGGATGACGAAGCGGAACAAGAATCATTTTCTCTACTGTCAGTCCTCCCTTTGTAATACCCGACGTGGTAATTCGTTTTCTTCCTCTGATGTGTGTGATGTGTGTGTGTGTGTGTGAGTGCGTGCGTGCGTGTGTGTGAGTGTGCGTGTGAGAGGGGGGGGGCTTACTTACGCGTTACGTCGTAAGGTTGATGTGTATGAGAATACAATTTAGCCAAAATGAAGAAGCCGCGGTCGAACGTGCGTTGTCGTCCGACCTTGCTGTCTTGACGCGAGACGGCCTCAATAGGAATCCTATTAGTATTCATCTATTCCCTTCTTTAAATCATGTAGCCTTCATGTACTGTACCACCCACCATCGGTGGTATTGTATATTGGAGCAACATCCACCTAAAACCAGATAGCGTGAATGTTGACCCAGGCGGCTTGGAACGACATTCACCAGTGCTTTTTATGCTTTACCGTAGTTTATTAGGTATTCCGTCCTTTTAGCCAATCACCTGCAAGCCACTATACTTTAAATAATACAAATGTAGCACCCTAGTATTCTATAGAGGATCGTCGACGGTTTTCGATCGCCCCTAAAACTCTGGATATGAATATCCAGAGAATTGTCTATACTGACATAAACCACCAAAGTCAAATACAGCATCAAGAATTGTTGGCAGAAGTATTGTATAAAAACAAGACAGAAGAATATGTTTGTCCTCTCGAATGAATTAAGTATATAAAGCCAGCTACGGAAGCGAAAGTCGATATATTCCACATTCTGGGCACAAAGGCGTAAAGCCATTGTTTTTCAAGTAGTCGTTACTGCAAACTTTTTGAAATAAATTGCCGCAAGGGCTAATAAAGAGAGGGGCTGCACATTTTGCCAGCATGTATGGCAAATACTCGCCACAAATCCGGTCTTCACAATTCTTTTCATTTGTAGGACGAGCGTCAGGATTGTTAAGGCTTGTGTATGTGGTGCTGACGACGTTCTGTCAAGCTGAAGCTCGCTGAAGGTGACAGCGTGCTGACACCTCACTTCTTCAAGCAGCACATGCATTCACTCCACTCGAGCATCATCAGCTGATGCTCCGGCGCCAACAGCCATGGTCGCCACTACATGTTGTGTATGAAGACGGCAAGAACTTCAAGCCTGCGTGCCATGGACACGCAAGTTGCTGTTGCTCAAGGAAGGAGCGAGCATCACCATAAACATCATCGGTTGTCCTGCTACAAAAGACCGCAGTGGACGACTAAGGAGTCTCCTAGGAGACCAGCAGTAAGTTCTAACTCTTTAATATATCTCACTTTCCAATTCACCTTCCCGAGCTTAAGTTCCTGGTCTCGTGATAGTGTAGCAGACAAGACATTCATCACTTATATCGTTTTTTTTCAGTAGCTTCGAGAGTCCCGACCTTCTCAGCTTCCTCATCGTTAGTACGTAAATTTCCATTATTAAGCCTCCGCTGTCGAAGTTTTTCTTGATACCGCGCGTTTCGCGCTTTTCGTTTCTCTTTTTTTTTCTTTGTTTCCGGATCACAATTGTTCTTCCGCACATGTTTTTGGAGACTTGATCGACTGGAGTATGCGTGTCCGCACACGGGACAGCGAAAGTCAGGAGACGCGGAAGCCCCAGCTGCGTCTATTGTACTTACAAAGCTCCAAAACAGTCTGAAAGAAATATGTTACTTGTATTTATAAAATCCCTAGCGCTACAAATATAAAGTGGTCCACTTTATTTTTGTGTGGGTACCAGGGATTGCTAGTATAATGATATCTGCTAATACTCTGTAGTAATTAATAATATCGTGACTACTATTAATTATTATATTCGACCTTTTAAACAATTACAATAATAGTCACAATGTAGTTTTCTTAAGTTCCACAAAATTACTATAATCAAGCGATAATAATAATAATAATAGCCCCACCCCGCTCTCCAAGAGATGCAGAGGTTTGAGCACCAGTCATCTCTACCAAAATAAAACAAGGCTCCTTGTGTCATTCAAGGTTTAGTCAACCACCTCTCAACCGTTAAGCTCTGACTTGAGGGCGTTTGTACCCGTCGTGGCTCGAGATAATGAAGTGTGCTGCCATTCATTGCTGCTGTCCAGAACTATCAGTAGTGTTGCCGTGTTGTGTTTGTCGGAAAGGTGTTCATCATTTGTGTAGCAACGACGTCTACGCTGATGCTACACTAGAAAAACGGTAAAGCTACAGTGCACATGTATTTTACCATACACGTCGTGAAACTCAATGCGTTGTGTTCATTTGTCTACATTAGATTCTGTAGTACTGATTGTCTACATCAGTACCTAGGACCTCCGCCGCCAGTTGGCCGAGATATTACGGTAAAAGAAACTGGTGCTTCTGTTGTTTCGCCCGTCAATAATCTGCGTAGCACACCGCCAGCGTCGCGACATCCTAATGATTCCTGTGGAACAAATGCAACATCGCCATCAGCTCTACCAGAGTATGACACGCATGGGGTACCTGTTTATGTGGAGCACTTAAATGGTCAAGCATTTTTGACACTGATGCACGACACGTACACTAGTTGTGGACTGGTAGTGACTGAAGGTGGCGCACTTCCGGAAGGGTCCAAAGTTATTCGAAAGTTACGAAGGCTAAATAACTACTTCTCCACTCCCCAGAGGGCAGATCGACTTGAGAGCCTGCAAAAATACCTGAAATTACCGGTTCTATCTACATTACTTGACGTCGACGTCCGTGTTGCATCTGCGTCAAGCCTAATGCAACGATCGATTGTGAATTTTCCAGCTTTTCGAGCCTACTTTCAGTCACCTGAGCCAAGTGATGACCCGTCTGTATTTACTGCACTGTTGGATGAGGATTGGCGTTTAGTTGTTGAACTGGATGGGATCAAGAATGTTGTTGAGCACTTAGCACTGATGGAGATTCAACGTGAACACTTGCTGGCATCGGAAGCAATCATGCTAATTAAATTCGCTGCCAATCGCCTTAGTGCGAACAAGTTCAGATGTTATGATCTGCAGTCGGGGCGAACATCGCTCACTAATGAGAAAAACCTTCCTCGGTTGGAAATCGCCAAGGAAGATATGTTAGGTGGAGCTCACACTTGGATCGCCCGAATATCGGCTCTGTTACGCCAGCGAGCACCAGCATTAACGCCGGAGCATGTCATGCCACAACTGCTTAATCCTCGAACGAAATCTGCGGTCCAGTCGATTTTGAGCTGCTCCTCATACGACGATAGTTTTCGTGATCAAATTATCCAACAATCCGAAACATTGTCCCAGAACGAGCTTCGTAAGCTCTTTAAGCTGAAAAGGACACATGAAAACGAATGTGACAAGAGACCTATTCCAGTGACTTCGAGAGACTAACGCAGGACCACTTGTGATGAAGACGAGTTTGTCATTTGTGGCGACCCGTTGAAGACACATGAAGAGATGTGCGAAGGGACCTATCATACTCAAGCAGATCAAGAATTAAAACGCTGGAAAGTGCTCTCTGTTAAGTGGATTGATGTTGCAGAGCGGCAAAACTTGCATGGGCTCTTAAGAGAGGAACTACGAACACGTATGACGACTGTGCGCCAAGATGGACAAGTTTGTTTTAATTTGTTCGAGACATGCAACCATGTGGACCTGTGTCAATGGTTCCGTGAGACGGGTGAAATAGAGTCTCCGTCAATTGCAGCAATGGCCAGAGTATGGTGCGGACGCAGCTCGACGACCGCCTTCCAAGAACGGGTATTTTCTACTGGTGGGCTTGTCATGAGCAAGCTTCGCACCCGGACGGGGAACCTCCGAGCTGAAAAACAAGTGATTTTGAAGCATAACAAGCGTGAAATAGCCTTGCTAGAAGACAAAAGCGAGCTTTACCTCGACGAATGAGCGTTGGCGTTCTGGCATCGTTTAAAATACGATACAGGGGCTTCAGTGCTAGCATTGACAAACAAGCATAACATTCCATTAGTACATATACATAGTTTGCTTCATAGAGCGATGTATTGTAATTGTATACGTCGACGCCGTGTAATTGTAGATGATCATTAGACTCGACGCTGTGTAGATCATTGAAAATATGTTTATGATTGTCGTTATCAGGAAAAAGTTATTGTTTCAATATCTCGCCAATATCTGGTGTCTAACCAACATATCTGGTGTTTAACCAACATACCGTGGAGTTATAAAATATTGTGCGTCTTTGTAGACATTTCGATCTTCACTGTCCGCTCCATCGCCGCGATTATACTCGTTGCTCTACGACAATAAGTACTCAAGTCACTTAGTCGCTAGAATCACTCATGCCTGACAAATAATTCCAATCAAATCACCTTGGTGATGTACAATCAGCTCGCAGTAACTGGTGCTACAGGCTAAGCTCACATATGGTACTGGTTTTGGGAAAAGCTCTTCATATTGCTTACAAAAATTGGGTATCACAGAATTTGAGCATCTTACCGAATTCACGTTTGGAGCCAGAAAAAAGTCTGGCGTGCGTTTCCCGCGCACATAAATCTAGAACGTTCTCTGCCACGGGGGCGGTAAAAGTTCATTTTAATAGGGCGACAATTAAGGTTTCTCATCGCATACCTCCACGACCTCCGTCCCGAGAGCCGTTTAATTTGACTCTTACAAAACTTAAGATGTTGGTGTGGGATGGCGCTCTGGCCACTCGTTTTGCAATTCATTTGCAATTCTTTTGCAATTCTTTTCGATAAGACGCGAAGAAAAGCCGCGCGACAGTGGGGGGAGAACTCAAGAATCGCGCGCTTGGAGAAGAGTGCGCACGCCGACAGCAGCGACTTGAGGGACGAACGACCTCGGGAGCAGTACCCGGGAAACAGGAGGGAAAGAAGAACAGGTTAGAGCACTAGACTGCCCGTCGCCACCACTCGCAGCGCTTTCGTCGCCACCGGACGAGAGTCTAAAGGCCCGCAAGCAGTCACACGGCCCGTTTCCCGTCCTCGCTATTTCAGAGCGCCCTTTATCGGTGGAGATCATTTTTACCAGGTAAAGCATGGCTGCCTCTAGTGTCGTAGGGGGAAGAGAGGCGCTCTAACCGTCTACTGTGTCGCTTGTTCTGTAGAGTTTGCAGCCTAAAACACCCACCTACTACTCAACACATCGCCACATTCACCCAGCCATGACTGCTACATCGAGCGACTGGATTTTCTCGGAACAGGAGCTGCGCTCCACGCCGTCCCAGCGCGACGGCATGAAGTACACAGACGAACTTATGCTGCGCCGCAGGGCGTGCGACTTTATTGAGAAGATGGCCAAAGCCTTGGACCTACCCAAGCTCGCTCAGATCAGTGCTGACAACTATCTCCACCGCTTCTACATGCGACAGTCGATCGTGCGCTATGACAAGTACCTGGTAGCCGCCGCATGCGTGCTGCTTGGCTCCAAGGCCGAAGAGAGTCCCAGGAAGATCGGCTACGTCGCCAAGGAGTACATTGCAGTACGAAAGGTTGCTGAGAAAGACCAGGTCTTCGCCATCCAGAAGCATGATCCACAAGCAATTGCGGGCAAGATCATCTCAATGGAAGGTGTTGTACTACACAATCTCTCGTACGAGCTGACACTGTCGCACCCGTACAAGTACATCAACGAGAAGGTGGATAAGGTGGTGCGTCTGCAGCATCTGAGCGAGCAGGATACTAAGATTCAAAGCAGCAAGATCAAACAGGTGGCATGGTCTTTCTTGAACGACAGTGCGTACACGGTGGCATGTTTGCGACTCGAGTCAGCTGACCTGGCGGCTGGCGCGGTGTATCTGGCCGGACTCTACGAGAGATACGTGCCAGAGGAGCTATGCACAGCCAACGGTCTGCCATGGTGGAGTGCGCTGGCAACGCCTCTGCATACCTTGCAAGGTATTGACATGACTATTTGTTTGTCGTGGGTACTGGCAATGTTTAAAGAAAGATGTGTTCTTTCCCCGTTTGTCTAGATGCGGCTCGCTACCTGCTGAATGCCTACACGGCGCCGTACATCAAAACGAACGTACTCGCGGCGGGACTGTCCAAGTTAGTTTATATGTTCCACCCGCCCAAGCCGGTCGAGAGCCCCGCGTCGTTCGTAGAGCTGGACGTCGTGGAGCAAGAGCACTCGTCGCCCATGGTGACGTCTCCAATGGACTCCGCTGCTTGCGTGACGTCCCCGGAGTGTGGCAGTAGTCAAGGCAGATCTCCGTATGACCATGACTTCGACCACGACGTCAAGTCACATGGCAAAGACAGTGAGGAAAGCCCACGCGAGGCCGCGCAGGTTCCGGCGACGCCTGCGTCTTTGCTTGAGAGTTTCCCAATTGCCAACGATAGTTCAAGTGCTGACAAGTTGTTGGGAAGCACTGCTGCGGCGCGAGCGGCGAACAACGGAAGACTATCGCGCAAACGCGGTAAGGACGCCGAAAAAACGATTTGTTCAGGAAAAAAGTTTAAGTACTGCTTGTAAAAGGCTGCGACACGAGAGAGTGAGCGAGAGCGCTCGCCTCGTGAGCTGCGCCCAAGCATCCAAGCATCGAACCAGAAGCGGGCGATCATGATCTTGTACGGCGAACGTGCCTACGTCGTTTCACTTCAGACACCACTCTTCCCATGTTACACGCAGTCGAGATGCCGACATCAGTTTAGAAAAAGTAGAAAAGCACTAAAACCACACAATAAAAAACGTATTTAAAACAGCACCCATTCATTTCACCAACCTTTTCGCACCCCGTCACCACCATGATCTGAGATGCCGAAAGACTAGCGTTTGCATTAAGTCAGCAGCAGCAAGATCCGCACGAGCGCAAATACACCAAAAGTGACGACAAAGAGAAGGATGCGAGGCCACACACGACACGAGGAAGGCTGCAACTCTTCCTGTAAACCCATTTATCGTGTGCAGCCACTTCACCCACTTGCTCGTTCTTCTTGGCCATCGCGTGCCCGACCGAACTGATCCACAAAGTCGATCAGAACCAATCATACTTTCGTGTCAGAACACACAGCTCAGAAGCTACAGCTTCACGAATGGAACATCGAGAGATCGCAGCGTCTGGTGGCGATGGCAGAACAGGAAGATGGCCGATGGATCTTACAGACACGACCAAAACACAGTAGTGTAAGACTTCATCACGTGCGATAGTGTACATCGAATGGCCGCTGAAAAACACGTACCTACCGTTAGGTGTTCTGTTGCCTTCAATCATATAGTAAAGTCCATGACCGGAATCGCCACAAAACAATCACTTGCCTCCCTCGAGGCAAACTGGAAACTGTGCCCGTCGTTCTGCACATATTTTTGGAGAAGTGCTCACGCCGGATAAACGACTCTTATCCGGCGGGTCTCCCGTCCAAAACGATGATAGCCTGCAACTATCGGCTTTGCAGGGCATAAAGATCTAGTGGCAGCAGCTTTAATCAAGCTATTTGTAAGGCCTCACAATCCATCACCACCATGGCATCAAAATAAACCACCATCCGGAGCAGTATCGTGCGACAAATCGCACTCATCCAGAGAACAGAGGCGAGAACTGGCCTCATTGCCGCAAAAGTTTTCGCTTTCTAGTTATTCAATAGCCAAACAAAGTTTATACATCTTCTTGGCATTAGTTTTGAGGCATCGTCTGCAGCATGGCACACTGTACCAGACAGACTGGAACCCCAGCTCCGGATTCGACGTGGTGCCGCCGAACGATCAGCCTCCACGGCTCTCTGCTGTGTGTGAGTTGACGTTCTTGGCGACTGAGTTGAAGCACAGCACGACGCAGTGGCGAAGATGTGACTTACATTTCGTGAAGTGAAGATGCTGCGGGTCTTTATTTGAGCCGTCGCAGGCTGCGACGGCAGAGCGCATTGGATGCGGGCAGTTACATGTGTCGTGGCTATCGAGGAATGTCGTTTCAGTCGACGCGCATTTTTGTCAAGTAGTACTATAGTACATACACGGAGATCTCATCGGCTGGCAGAGACACTGGCGTTCTCATGTCGTCACGACCTTGTTTGTACTACGAAGTAGTATACAGAATAACCTACGTCTACGCGGCAGTTTGTGAACTCTTAAGACGCCAGCGACCACAACTAATTTGCATTCTGTTTCGCAAAGATTGCATCGTTATCAACACTTTATTCGCCAAGTTGGAGCTATGCTTTGATCTTCTCCCATGGCTTCGCTGCTACTGCTTCATCAGCTTTCATCTGCTGGCTCAGCAGCGCACTGGAGTCGACGGACAACTTGTCCTCGATGTCGCGAATGCCTGGCACCGTCTCACCCTTTTGAATAAGATCCATCACCTCCTTGAAAGACTCCGGAAACGACGGTCCACCTGCCGTCACCGTCGGAGAGATGGAGCTGGCTACTGGCACAGGCATCTTCTCCTCGTCATCAGCTGACGCCACTTCACTAGCCGCAATGGGATCGGAGGAAAAGGATGAAAACTCCTTCTTCATGCTTGTTTCGACATTGGCGATACTGCTGACGCTGGTTTGTTGCTCCAGACGAGCCATGAATGCATCGAGACTCGTTGAGGCCGATTCTGACGGGGCACTGAACATACTTTTGCTGCTGTGCACCGCTTGACGCTTCTCTTCAGTAGTGCTGGACGTTGTGACAGTAGTCGTAGTGGTCGTGGTTGAAGCCACATCTTGCTTCTTTTTGTCCGCAAAATATTCTTCTAGACTAGCGTGTGCAATCTCCTCAAGCGACAGACTGGACGATGACTTTGGGTTGGTGAGCGACTGAAGAGCCTTCAGCAGCGCGCGAAGAATAGCGATGTTCTCGTCAAACGCGCCAGTTGTCTTGCTCGCTGTATGCCACTTCCACTCCATGTTAAGACCTGCCATCTCAAAGCCGATGGACTTAAGCAACTCCTCGTGATGCTGCGCGACAGAAAACAAAGCACTTAGTACCAACGTCACTAGTTTTCAAGCCGCCGTAAACGTACCTTGAGGGGCTCGATCTTCTGCTTAAAATTTGCGTTACCAGGAGCAATTCGGCGATAGCGAGGCACGTCCGGGTTCTGTAACAAAGCATTAATATCTGTCAGGTACTAAACTATTGACACGAAATAGCAACACGACGTTGGTGTTGGCCCTTACCTCGACGAGATTCTTGACGTACATACTCAGAATGCCCGCAGCCAGCTTCAGTTGTTCCAGCGAGTTCTGCATGTGGACGGAATACACAGCCTTAAATGATCGGACAAAATACAGAGCGCGAAGGTATAGCGAGACACATACCTCGGTTCTGAGCTTCTTCAATGCCTTCTCCATCCGCTCAGCTTTGGAAGCTTGCAAGACCACAGGCGGTTGCTGCGGGTTGACTGAAGTTGCAGTCGCTTCAGTAGCTATGTTTCCTGTGGCAGCAGAAACACGTTGTTTCTTCGTCTCTTTCACCAGTTCTGCATGGGATTCGCCAGAGTTTTCCGCCTTCTTCGAAAGCAACAGCGCCTTCAGCGTCGAGATCTCAGCCTTTAATTCAGCGATAGACTGCGCATTGCCCTGTTCAGCCAGAGAGCTGGAAATCTGTGCGGTCAACAACGTTTTACTCTGCATGTCACGCTCCTTCTCGTCTAACGAAGAGCTCAACTTGGCCAGTTCGGCCGTCTGCTTTTGAATAGCCGCCGACACGCTCGAAAGTTGGGCCAGCAGAGCCTCGTCCTTCTTCGCCTCCTGCTCCTTCTCCTCCTTTACTTTAGCAGCTTCTAATAAAGGCGGCATTGGTCGCTGTAGTAGTAAGCGCAATAGCAAGACAGCTGTCGGTACACAATTTCCAGTAATGCTACCACTAGCCCAGCAAGAATCCACGTACCAGCCATGAAATGTAGCCCGACTGCACTGCATAATTCCACAAAAATGTAAGGATCGAAGCCGCACCCACCAGCGACGACACTGTCCACAACACTCGAACGTAGGGAGGATATTTCGGTCGGCGTTGCATCATTTGCATGGGCGCAGCTGCAGTCATCATCATAGGTGCTGCTGTTGTAAATTGCTGTTGCTGCTGCCCTGGCGGCTGTACAGATTGCGTAGTGGTAGTCGCTGTTCCGCCATTCTGATGACGCTCGATCGCCTCTTGGATCTCTTCCTTGGTCATTCCCTTGCCCTCCAGGAACGAAACTCGCTCGGAAAGCGGCGTTGACTGTGAATCTGCGGGGTAAGAATAGCACATACGAGACTGCAGAGCACAGCACGCACCTGAACATTCGGGTGCTGCAGGAACTTGAGCCCGTTCTCCACCATTTCCTCGCGCATGGCCTGCTGACTCCGAGCCAACTTGAATAATCTGCCTGTACTTACTTACGTCAACCTTCTGTGTTGTTTGCATGGGGTCCACATCAAACTATCATTTTTTTTAAGTACAGAACACAAATTACGGCTTGGCTGGCTGACGACGAGCAATTGCTAAAGTGACGAGCAAGCTTTGCGAGCTCCATGGCGCCTCCAAACAAGCGAGCGAAGAAGGATGACGGCAGTGAGACGAATGCCGATGGAGCCGAGCCTGCGTTTGAGCGGCGCAACCCGTCGCACATCAAGAACAAGATGAAGCGCCAGATTGTGATGCAGAAGTTCCGCAAGGAGAAGAAGGAGGCAAAGAAGGCGGCGCAGCTGAAGCGCCGACGCGAGGCCGAAGAGATGGGTGAAGAGGCACCGGCCAAAATGGAGCCGCGCACCATCGACAACACGCGTGAGAAGGAAGTGACGATGGTCAGCAACGAAGGCGACGAGGAGATCGAGGCTGACGAGCGTGACGACGAGTTCGCCAGCATCTTTGCCAATGAGGAGGCACCCAAGCTCATGATCACCACGCGCCCGTTCCCTTCAGGTGAACTGTACCACTTTATCAAGGACCTCATGGATCTGCTACCCAATTCGTTCTACTACAAGCGCGGGACTTTTGACATCAAAGAGATTGTGCAATTCGCCAGCAACAAGAAGTTCACGCATCTCATCGTGCTGTCTGAGAAAAGCAAGATCTGCAATGGGTAAGCTGATGGCTGATTGCTTCTATTTATGTTGCACAATACCTAACTGCTCTTATTGCTACAGTATGCTCGTTAGCCGCTTACCTGAGGGCCCAACAGCGTTCTTCAAGGTATCAAACGTGAAGTTGACCGCCAGTATCAAGGAGCGCGGTCGCCGCACAAACCACCAACCGGAGCTGATTCTCAACAACTTTTCGACGCGTCTGGGTCACCGGGTGGGTCGATTTTTGGGCTCGTTGTTTGAGCACCAACCGGAGTTTGAGGGTCACCAGGTCGTGACGTTTCACAACCAGCGCGACTTTATCTTCGTACGACACCACCGCTACACGTTTGAGAACGAGAAGAAGGCGCGTCTACAAGAGATTGGACCGCGCTTTACAATGAAGTTGCGATGGCTGCAGCAGGGAACGTTCGACACCAAGTTCGGTGAGTACGAGTGGATTCACAAGCAGCACCAACTCGACACCTCACGCAGGAAATTTCACCTCTAAGCAGTTTGTCTTCTTTTACAACAATAGAGTCCTTCTTTCGTTTTCTCATAAACTACCGGTGAATTACAAGTACTGTATTGCACTTGCAATCTCCATTTTTGCCGCCATTTCGGTGGTGCTGCTCTCAGGTTTGAAACTCATGCTCGAATGAGGAAAATTAACCTCAGCACAAGCTTCATTCGCCCTTTTAAAGGGCGAAAAAATATTATAAAATTTACTTCTGAAGTACATGTTAAATGAAAAAGCTGAATGTACATTATCGGCCATCTGCAACCAAGGTTGTATTTTTGAAAATCCTGATCTCTGATTGGCTGCACGTAGCGTATAGATCACAATTGTGCCTTGTACAGCGCGAAACGGTGGGGTGGTGATTGCAACTTGAGTTGTTCACACGGTGGCAGGCCAATCGGATACAAAAAGCAAGTCAGGTTGCAAACGTACTTAGTGTAGAACCAGATTTAAAATCCAAGCCAGAAGTTTGCAAAGAAAGAAAAGAACGCCACAAGTCCCAGCACTATGACAAGCCAGTACAAGCGAGAGCTCACGAGGTTCATGCCGTGGTAGCGCTGTACTCGGAGATGGTAGTCGCCGTGAATTACCAGCCCTTCACTCGCAAATTGGAGCTGGGCGACGCCAAGCAGCCGAAGTGCTGGACGAAGTCATGCGTTTACGGCGAAAGAACCAACGAGAGCTACCGAAGATTCAGGCCATATTAAAGCGAATTGCCATGTAGCCATCTTTTCGGCGCGACGTTATTATGCAGGATATAACTACATCTCCACCTAATCCGCCTCCGACTCGCCGAGCGTCTACGGCTGTACTTTCAAAGCGGCCGAAATATTTATGTGAACTTTGGCACGAATACCAGGTCGGATGCGGTGACCTGAAAGCAGCAAAAGACTTTACGGCAATCGAGCGTGGTGCGAGCAAGTTCGCCTTCTCTAGCTCTGGGACGTAGTCGCTAGCTTGGTGCGCTCAGGTTTTACCAGTGACGCAGCGATAGACAAGGTATATTCAGTCTATGGTAGGCAGCTCTCAGTGTCAAGTATCTTGGTGGCCCTCCGTGCGGATCGTAAGAATGGCGGCCATCCTGCTCTGCGTGTGTAGTTACCGCTTTGTGCACTTCAACACAGTCCAGCACTAGTATTAACCGATCAAAATAGGGTTGCAAGCCAAGTTGCACAAAAGGCCGATATTTCTACAGTAGTAGTAGCTTTCCTACTTAAACTACAGGTTGATCAGGCCTCTGTGAAGCGAAGTTCTTTTTGCAGCATTTAAAAAAGCTCAATTGTCGCTTGCCTACGTACTGCGGAAGCAAATCAAGTTGGCAAGGTGGGCGCGATGGTTCGACGTAATCGCACTCTTGCTGTGAATGAAAACAGGATTTGCTCTTGGATCCCCTATCAGATCTGGTATAAATTTCAGAGAATAAATATTCTCGTATTTCCTCTTACTCTCCTTGGCTTTAAAATTTTAATTTCTGGATAGTTATTATTGCCATTATGGTATCTCTTCTTAATTCCTGTCAGACACCAATTGTCGTCTACTGTACACGTTTTCCGAGCTCGCGTGGCACATTGTCACTGAAAACGAAATAGAGAACTTTAGCTGTTGGAGTAGCGCGAAATAGAATATCAATGGATGTTTCTTCAGTGGAATACATGTAACGAAGGTTCAAAATGTTTCAATGGACCATTGGCCTTGACCATTTTTCAGACAATTGTTGCTGCAAAATCTTGAGTTACCGGTAGTCGAGAAACTATTAATAAGTTCTCTAATATATCCTTCGTTGAACCAGAACTTTTAGCTTTCCACACACTTAGGGGTCAAACAAACAGGTACATTAATGAGAGCTTATGCAATGACCATCAGCTCGATCCGAAAAGGGACGAGGAGAGCGGTGCCCCCATTAATGGTCATGCAGTCACCCTCACTAATGCAGTGTTGTGTTCCCCATTTGTCCAGCCACCATATTTGCTGACAGCGCAGTGACAGACTCCTTGCAGAGTCGAGTGTAGGTCTTGTACGCGTCAGATACCCATCGGCCGTGAACTGAATCGTCAGTGCATCCACGCCGGAGCGGTACATATGGGTCGCCCCGCCTGTGCGAAGGGAGTGTGTACTAAAGTGGCAAGGGTTCTTGCCGGTGCGGACGGCGGCACGTTTTATAGCTTGGGACAGATCTTCAGCTGAAACGCAGCTGGGACTCCTCGGTGTGATATAAACACCGTGGCTGGAATGCTAGCCGGAAGACCTTTCCTTGCTTGAAGAAGTACAAAATCTCCGAAAACAGGGCAAAGGAAGTGATGGCCAGAGCGTGAGAGCATTCTTGTCGTAGGGGTTCCGCCTTGTTTTGTCTTCGAACTGATCAACCGTATTCACACACCCTGAGCTTGCGATGGATCCTGGGTTGGCCTGCCCGTCGCATCGACACTTATAATGTCTTCAGCTCGAAGTGCAAACCACTTGAAAGAACCTCCTCGGATTGACACGATCTCCGATCGACGTAGGAGGAAGAAGTACGCCAAGCACATCACCCCCCATAAAACTTGCTCACGTGGTGTAGCCATCGTCAAGCTGCGAAAGCAGGCTTCCAGAATGTCGAGTAAAACCGGCTCCTTACGAAGCCGCGGTGTATCGAGACGACTGATACCTTTGAGAAGCATGCGGATGTCTGGGTGTGCGATCGGGAAGTCGTAACCGAAAGCGGCGAAAAAGTATCGTACGCCTTGAAGAACCGCTGTAATGGAATCACTACGGATTGGACCGCCGGATCCGAAGCCGAACTGAAAACCGTGAAGAACGAAATCGGAAATATACCGCACTTTTTGATGAATGGAGACGTCGAGAAGATATGGGTGAGCGCCTCTGCGTGAGATCCAACTGGTCCACTTGCCTAGGGATCGACTGTACTGCACAAATGTGGAGTCGGCAACGGAGTGCGCGCGGAGATACACTGCCAGACGCTGGTTAGGCCTTGTATATCCACCGGCGGGGACACCTGCAACCAGCCGGAAGTTAGCGACGTAAAACGATCCACAAACGACGCGTTAGCGGTAAGTCGGGAGCCAGCATCTGCTCGGACGTTGTCTGCGCCGGGTATGTGGGACGCAGAGAGCCGGAGTCGAAAAGTTGATTTCCACCAACTTAGCAGGCGAATAAGAACTTGAGCCCTGGGATGGCGAGATGCCAATTTGTACTGCCACGCGACGGCAGATGTGTTGTCGATGCGGAAGTGTACGTGCCGCGGCCTCCCAGTAATGCAAGCGTTTGAAGCCCACCTTGCGCCCCATGTATGCACAGCGAAAGCACACGAGAGAAGCTCGCGGAAGCTGATGTCAAAACCGTTGGTCTCTTCGTTGTTGAACGCCGCGATGAGATCACGCTCGGACGGAGTGAATTGGTACGTCAGTGCCTCCTTCGCGGATATGTCAAGTGCGCAGAGACCGAAATATGAAGCATCCGTTTCAACCACAATGTCCATAGATAGAGCGTGCTACAATGGTTGGTTAAGCAGGTAAACCGGGCCTTCTGCGTCTTCGTGCATCGCAGGGTAGTGTTGCTGGGGCATCTCGATGTTAAAACTGGCCATAACCTTGGTAAGCTCGGCATGCCGAACTTGTTTGTGCAGGTCTCGACGTATCCTTGCGCTGTCATGCGTCTCACTTGCTCTTTGACTTGATATTACAGGGCGAATCGTGTGAGTTTCTTCTCGGTCGACCGGCCTCTCGGTGGTACTAGTACGTACTTCCACAACACTACTAGAGCGATCTGAGTGTACACCAATCAAATCCTGCGGATGGGTGCGCGAGTGCATAGTCGGAGGAGTCAGTATAACCGTGGGTGGCTGTGTAGTCGGTCCGGACTGTATATTTGAAGAGGGCTGTATAGCTGTGGATGACTGTATAGTCGACCCAGACTGTATAGTTGCAGGGTGCTGTATAGCTGTGGATGACTGTATAGTCGGCCCAGACTGTATAGTCACTGGGTGCTGTATAGCAATAGGTGACTGTATGGTCAAAGGACGCTGTATAGCAATAGGTGACTGTATAGTCAATGGGCGCTGTATGGCTATGACCGACTGTCTAGACGGATCAGACTGTAAAGTCGGAGAGGGATGCATATCCGTAAGGGTCGCCTCGCTTGTGACAAAGCCATCAGTCGCAACGGAAAGCGGAGGCTGCGGACCGGGCTCAGAGGCCACTTGCGGTGGGTTGTGATAGGCAAAATGACCCTCAAACACGCTAATTTCTCGCTCCCGCGCGTATTCGACATAGCAGATGTAACCTTACCTGTTTCCGTACCGAAGTCACGGAACATTCGACTTGCGGCCAACATGTGGGCTTGCGGAGAATTGTAGTCGCCTTTCGCCTTCTTTGAGCCTTCTGGGAAGCTTGCGCTGGTCAGGTAACAGACTTCAGAAGGAGGCAGCTCTCCTTTCGAGTTCGGAGCCGTGACGATTGTGCCTGCGGACGCCCCACCCCATTGAGTACTTTCGCTACCGTGGAGCTGCCGCAAGCGTGCAACCTCATCGCGTAAGGAACGAAGCTCGCGCAGCAGGTCCACTGGTGCTGCAGGCTGCGGTACGATGGGTGTTGGGCCAGGCTCTTGATGAGAAGGATGGTCAGCAGGACCCTCGGCCAATGCCACACCGCGACCGGGCTCAAACGACGCCATAAATGTGGATAGGTCGAAGTCTTTCCGGGAGCTCGGGCGAATCTCAGGAGCAGCCGGTGTAGGAGGTTGTACAACTGGTGGAGGGAGCTGCACGATCGGGACGGTATCCCCTGCTGACTTCTTTCGCCCTCTTAGGCTTAGGAGTCGCCGCCTTGTCCTCCAGGCCGTGGTCGGACCCGTCTTCAGTGGCGTCGTCACTCTTCGGTCGACTGGTAGTAGCTGCAGGCGACGGGGTCGTGCGCTTGGGCGCCTTTTTCTTTCTCTTGCGGGCCTCGGCCGGCGCTGGAGAGGAAACGTTGCGGGCGGCAGCTCGCTTGCTCGTGCGAATCGGCGGAGGGTCCGAGGTGCTGCGGGCGGATGTATTGGTCCACGTCTCCTCTCCACCAGTGACCATGACGACGTCGGCTGCTGGGACGGTAGAGGCGCTGTCCGACCAGGCCGTGGTGGCCCTGGACGATGGCGAGTCGGGTGCGCTGGAAGACATGGTGTAGGATGAATCCCCCTCTTTTTTGCTCTTAGTTCTTGTTCTCCAAATGCGAAGTGAGGAGTGGAGGCCACGTGTGTGGTTGGCAGCTTTCGGGGAGTACACGTACCGGTACTACGCCGGTAATACCGGTCACAGATAATCTCGTGTGGAAAACACAATTCCCTTCCTCCGCTCCGCTCTACTACACTGCGCGACAAAATCTTTCGGACACTTACATTTTTATCTATAGCTTGGCTTCTAGAACGAGTTGAGACGTGCTATTTAGATATGTTTAGCCAATCCGATAGGTCTATAGCTGGCATGTGACGCGGAGCTAGATTTCCGAGTATGTCGGTAGGCTGGCATACAAAAAACTAAAAATTGGTCTGCGACACGATTTTCGGACACACTTTTATCTTATTTTTAGTAAGGGCAAGAATGATTGTCCTGAGCGATAAACTATCAGTAATGCGTCTTATCACCGTTCTTTCGTGCTACCTCAAAGCATCGCGATGGCATCGAGTCCATCAACTTCATCAACTCGTCCATCGTAACCGAATCCCATGCAGCCTTCACAGCAACTGTTAGCTCAGGTACAGACCCATACTGCTTACCATTACTGTACACCTTTCTTGCGAGGATTGCCCACACGTTCTCGATTGGGTTCAGGTCTGGGGATCTTGCAGGCCAGTCGAGCACCGTCACCCCTTGCTCTTTGAAGAACCCCATGGATTCGTAGGAAGCGTGAATAGACGCATTGTCTTGCATGTACACAAAGTCTGTACCGTATTTAGCGTGCGCGAACGGAAGCATGTACTCAGACACCGTGTAGATGTAGTTCGACGACTTCTGGCGCCCCTCCAGAACAACCAATTCCGACTTACCCTTAGCGCCAAACGCGC